TCGATGTGTCTGCACAACCACCGCAGCCTAATGCCGGTGAGCACCTTTTTATTGAAGTTACACCTCTCACTCTATAGTTCTTCTTGGTGTTTATTACTGCACGATTACTCACTACTTATTCACACACGATTATCATGGGTGACTTAAAAAACTTGCCTACTTAAATAGGATGCCAGGGCTTCTTCCCTTCATTCTTATGCTCTAGTTGTCTTTCAATTTACCCCGAAATGCCACGCATCATTTTCCAAACTCGATTCCTTTTCTTCTTGCCCTTATATTTGTTTTCTAATAACTTTTTCAAGAAGCGCGGTCGATATACGATCGATACATTTTCATTTCATGTCCTCATCTTACTAACTCAATCTCCCAAATTTAAACCAAAAATTCTTCTGCAACGTAATTTTGGTGGCATGGATAAAGACAGTCGGCGTAAGGATGCCTTGGTATCGGAATGGTCAAATATTTTAAGCGCAGATACTCTCGATAATAAAGTTTCAATCTTCGCTTCTGCACTTATAAAAATCTTTGATGTTCATGCACCTGTGCGCGCAGTCGAAATAAAACATCGCCCAAATCTATTATAAATAAAACAGCGGTATCAAAGGCTAAGTATAACGTAAGCCAAATGCGTTTAATAGGGAAAAGTATATTACCAATCGCAATCACTGCAATAAGGTGTAGAGATACTCAACGCCTTCATATTCATAAATCAGTCGAAATTAGTGATACAGCAAAGGTTCGGAAATTTCTTAGATCATTTGGGAGGTTGGAAAATCTAAAAATACTCTAACAACAAACGGTTTAAACGTTAATATTTTAAGTAAACCTGTAATTAAATAATTCAATATATGTATATATATATATATATATATATATATATATATATATATATATATATATATATATATATATATTTTATTTTTTGTATGTATATGTATTTTTTTCACACACTAATAATTAATCACACTTAACACTTTAGTTCACTTTATTTCGCTTCGAAGTCTTCGCTTGTGTCGCTAATTCAATACTGCCCCGGTCACCTTTTCTATATTTTATATACATAGATTTTCTAAAATAGTGCAATTTGTAGATGACACTTCTCTAATTTTTAATGTAGATTAAAAACAAAACTAACTGTAACGATACAAACTATGCTCTTTCGAAAATACAACGGTCGTTTATGATTTATATTCTTGTGGTGGCGGTGGACGTGTTAACATTTATCTTTGCTCACAGATAACATTTACAAAAATCAAACAAAGTGAATGCACCACCACCACATGTGAATGAAAATGCACCGCGTTACCCTATGGCAACATGCTAAAATTAGTGAAACAGTACCTGGATGACCGAGCTTAGCTCGGTATTTTTGTGGTATTTTTTGGGTTTTGGAAATTATATTTAGATACAAATTACATACTGATGAAATATGAATAATATTTTTTGATCTTACCGACATAATAGAAAAAACTGAACGGGTTATTTAAATAAAAAATCATGAGTGCAATTAGTTAATTTTTTTTTGTTTTTAAAAAAAATATTAAAAAACGGGCTCGAAATAATAGATTTTCTCACAAAAGAAGGGAACTTGAAAATAAAAGGAAAAAAAGCCGGACCGAAGGCAGGACTCGAACTAGGGTACTACGATATCAGGACTGCCCAATATACCATTTGAGCTATTATAATCGTTAATGCATTGCCAAAATATATCTTCTTATTCTAATGATATTATAGCAGTTTTTATTGCCTGAAAACACGGATAAAACAACATTTTCTAAAAATTAATTCTAGCTAGATCGATTTATTGCCCCCGAAACCCCCTGGACACTAAATTTCATGAAAATTGTTTCCGAGATTCCGATTATAATTATACACACAAAAATTGCTCGTTTAAAGGTATTAGATTTACTTATTACACCATCGTCTAGACCTTGAAAACTTACAACTCATTTATGTTACAAGTCATTCGATTTTACACGAAAATGCCTGATTCATTACTTAACTTGCATGTATTTTAGTAAGGATGTTAAGGCAAATTGATAACAAAATATCGTATACAGCCTGGATGCTTGGCGGTCTAACACTGTGCGTTTTGCTAGGAGTTTTCTTACTTGCACAAAGACGTCGTTTCTTCAAAAATAAATAAATAAAATAAAAGTAATGATTTAGCCCATATCATAGTGCCCGGCGATTCAACTCATTGCAAGACAGCGTTCGTGAAATTATGACATATCTCGTCAGGCAAACCTCAAAACTTCAAAACAAGATTGTACAACCAGTGCGTGTTGCTAGTGATGAGTGATGGGATCATAGTTGTCTAAATGGCTTTGCCATTTGGCTAGACAGATGTTTCTAGCCAAATGACATGATTTTATGTTTCATTAAACATAAAATATTGGAGTTTCTGTAAATCATGACCTGATTTTTAATTTACCTTATCCATCGGGTGGTAGGCTAAGAGAAATAAAGCGGAATTGCTTAAAACTTGTAAACTTTTCAAAATAAAAACAGATCAAAAGCAAAAAAAGAAATTTTAATTAAAATACTTACCTATTTAAAATAAGCAAACATTTTAAACGTTATTACCTTTCCCATTTTTTTGCGTTGAACCAAACGCTGATCTTTTTGTTCACGATCACAGATATGTGAGATTTCGTGAGTCATTAGAGCATCAAAATTGCTTTTTTTATTGAGTTCCAGCCATACGTAGCATAATCACACTACCCCATTATTTTTATTATAATACTCCTATATTCCGTAAATGTGAGAAAATGCTCAAATTTGAATTTTTTGTGGCTGTTAAGTATTTATGTTTTGTTTAAAAGGCTTATCTGCTTTTATCTGAAATTCCAGATATCGGTTTTTTACAGGTTTTTAATTTTAGGAAAAAATTTCTATACTATTAATAATTGTAATCTGTCTCTATGAAGCGCACAGTAGATCACTCAACATTGCCTATCTAAATGCAAATGCAAATGATTAAAACTACTTTTACGGATTTTATCGCGTTTATTTTTGCTTTTAGTTACTTTTATTTTTAATTCCCGACGTTTCGGGCGCTTTCCAGCACCCATGGTCACGGGGGACTGAGATGACTGACGTCCCGATGTCATTGTTAAACCCGGAGTACCTTCAGCTTTTTTAATTATTGTTTATGGTCCGATCTATGCAAAATGAACTGACTATGTCCCGAGGTCTTGCAGTGGTATGCTTGGGTTTAGTTTTAATTTTATTGATTATAGGATCCCAAGCAGGTGGTAGTACCCAGCCTCCTTCTCTATTGAAATTAGGATGTTTTTTAATTTCAATAGCCTCACGTATCATCCTTGGTAGGAATCGGTGTTCTTTCGCGAGGATTTGTGGTCTATCAAATCTGATGTAATGGTTGGGGCCGTCCAGGATATGATCACAAACTGCAGACTTCCCGGAACGTTGATGCTTCACATCAGCTATATGTTCTTTTACACGGGTTCTAACTGATCTTTTTGTTTGTCCTATATAAGAGAGACCACATTCACAATCAAGCTTGTACACTCCTGCATCTTGTAGGGGAATATGACACTTGACGGATGGTAGGAACTGACTAATCTTCTTCGGCGGCTTGTAGAATGTTCTAATAGAAGCTCTCTGTAACAAAGAGCACGAGAGCACGAGGGATCTGTGACAGCAAACACCTGGCCGCCGAGCTTCAGCACGTCAAGCAAGTTCTGCACGACAACAAGCTTCGGGTCCCGCGCCTACGTCACAGTGACCGAGTGAAGCCGGCCACAGTCGAGCGTGTGCCTGCTGTACTACCATATGTCAGAGGTGTCACAGACAAGATTGGCTATATCTTGAAGCGAGCTTCTATTAGAACATTCTACAAGCCGCCGAAGAAGATTAGTCAGTTCCTACCATCCGTCAAGTGTCATATTCCTCTACAAGATGCAGGAGTGTAGAAGCTTGATTAAGAATGTGGTCTCTCTTATATAGGACAAACAAAAAGATCAATTAGAACCCGCGTAAAAGAACATATAGCTGATGTGAAGCATCAACGTTCCGGGAAGTCTGCAGTTTGTGATCATATCCTGGACGGCCCCAACCATTACATCAGATTTGATAGACCACAAATCCTCGCGAAAGAACACCGATTCCTACCAAGGATGATATGTACGTGAGGCTATTGAAATTAAAAAACATCCTAATTTCAATAGAGAAGGAGGCTGGGTACTACCACCTGCTTGGGATCCTATAATCAATAAAATTAAAACTAAACCCAAGCATACCACTGCAAGACCTCAAGACATAGTCAGTTCATTTTGCATAGATCGGACCATAAACAATAATTAAAAAAGCTGAAGGTACTCCGGGTTTAACAATGACATCGGGACGTCAGTCATCTCAGTCCCCCGTGACCATGGGTGCTGGAAAGCGCCCGAAACGTCGGGAATTAAAAATAAAAGTAACTAAAAGCAAAAATAAACGCGATAAAATCCGTAAAAGTAGTTTTAATCATGTGTAGTGTTCGCGTAAATATAAGAAATCATTATGCAAATGCAAACTTGTGTAAATTAAAAATGAAGTATGGTAATGACGTGACGCCTGGGAATACGTATATAAGTCTTATTTTAAATATTTTATATATGTATATAACGAGCCGTGGTAGCTCAGGTGGTTGACGCTCGCTGTAAATGTAACAGAACGCGAGTAACCCAGGTTCGATCCCCGCCGACACCAATGAAATTGTTAATTGCAATTATAAGTGCCAATTTAACACGTGCGCGGCGGTGAAGGAAAACATCGTGAGGAAACCTGCATGTCTGAGGAATAAGAGAAAAAAATATTTAGAAGACATGTGAAGTTCGCCAACACACATTGGGGCAGCGCGGCGAACACTTCCTTGCCCTAAACCCTCTCAGAAATGAGGGGAGGCCTGTGCCCAGCAGTGGTACGTATATAGGCTGTAACTATAATTTTTTTTAATACTGTAATGGCTATTATCGATATTTGGCGAAAGTGAGATGTTTTTCACTGCAGATGATGACACTTTCGATTCTATGGTAAGTGATAGTGACAGTTCTATTTCCACTTCATCTCTCTCTGATTTTCTGGCTTGACAGTTTTTTGATGTCACTAACAACTTTAATGTTGTTCACATAAATGCACAGAGCATTCCGTGCCACTTTCCCGATACGCTGATGACTTTTACTTGTAAAAATATACATGCGGTTCTTGTTTCTGTATCGTGGCTGAAGCCCTATCTTCTTTCTGTCTGTTACAATCTCCCTGACTTTCAACTAATACGAAATGATCGCTCGGTAGGTGGCGGTGGATGTGTTAGCATTTATCTTCGCTCACAGATAACATTTACAATTGTCGATGTGTCTGCACAACCACCGCAGCCTAATGCCGGTGAGCACCTTTTTTATTGAAGTTACACCTCTCACTCTATAGTTCTTCTTGGTGTTTATTACTGCACGATTACTCACTACTTATTCACACACGATTATCATGGGTGACTTAAAAAACTTGCCTACTTAAATAGGATGCCAGGGCTTCTTCCCTTCATTCTTATGCTCTAGTTGTCTTTCAATTTACCCCCGAAATGCCACGCATCATTTTCCAAACTCGATTCCTTTTCTTCTTGCCCTTATTTTTGTTTTCTAATAACTTTTTCAAGAAGCGCGGTCGATATACGATCGATACATTTTCATTTCATGTCCTCATCTTACTAACTCAATCTCCCAAATTTAAACCAAAAATTCTTCTGCAACGTAATTTTGGTGGCATGGATAAAGACAGTCGGCGTAAGGATGCCTTGGTATCGGAATGGTCAAATATTTTAAGCGCAGATACTCTCGATAATAAAGTTTCAATCTTCGCTTCTGCACTTATAAAAATCTTTGATGTTCATGCACCTGTGCGCGCAGTCGAAATAAAACATCGCCCAAATCTATTATAAATAAAACAGCGGTATCAAAGGCTAAGTATAACGTAAGCCAAATGCGTTTAATAGGGAAAAGTATATTACCAATCGCAATCACTGCAATAAGGTGTAGAGATACTCAACGCCTTCATATTCATAAATCAGTCGAAATTAGTGATACAGCAAAGGTTCGGAAATTTCTTAGATCATTTGGGAGGTTGGAAAATCTAAAAATACTCTAACAACAAACGGTTTAAACGTTAATATTTTAAGTAAACCTGTAATTAAATAATTCAATATATGTATATATGTATATATATATATATATATATATATATATATATTTTATTTTTTGTATGTATATGTATTTTTTTCACACACTAATAATTAATCACACTTAACACTTTAGTTCACTTTATTTCGCTTCGAAGTCTTCGCTTGTGTCGCTAATTCAATACTGCCCCGGTCGCGGCCCTAAACGGCTTTATATAGGTCTTTTCCATCGTGACATCTAGAATTTTCCAAGCAAATACCGGTCCCGACCGACTAGGTGTAGAAATTGATTAAAACTACTTTTACGGATTTTATCGCGTTTAATTTTAATTATTTTTAATTCCCGACGTTTGGTCACGGGGAACTGAGATGACTGACGTCCGGATGTCATTGTTAAACCCGAAGTACTAGGCTGCACTAAAAGTATCGGGAATGGAATATTTCCACTGTTCCTGTCATATTAAAATCTTTTTAATTGAAAACTCCTTGGTTTTAAAAATCGAATACCATTTATTTATTTTAAAAAAAATTCTCGGTCTTGTCACAAGGTTTTGTCAAATTTGTTTAGTCGTTGAGAAAATGGAATTGACTCGAGAAAATTCAAGAGCGATGATTTATTATGACTTTCGAAGTGGTTTAACACAAAAACAGTGTGTTGAGTGGATGATTTCTGCATTTGGTGATGAAGCGCCATCCAAAACCACAGTTTATCGCTGGTTTGCTGAATTTCAACGTGGACGTGTCAAGCTCAGTGATGATCCCCGTCAAGGTCGTCCAAAAACTGGTCACCCAAGAAAACGTTGATGCTGATGGAAGATCAACATGTGACATACCGCGAAATTCAGACAACTTTAGACATTGGCCTGAGTCAAATACAAATAATCTTGCATGAACAATTAGTTGTAAAAAAGTTGTTTTCCCGATGGATACCGCATTCGCTCTGTGAAGAGCAAAAAGCGGCTCGCGTTACTTGGTGCGTCAGAACTCTCGAAAGATTCCACGCAGGATTCTTAAATGCTGTATACAACATCGTATTAGGTGAGGAATCCTGGATATATGCGTACAAACCCGAAACAAAAAAAACAGTCACGAGTTTGGGTGTTCGAAAATGAGTTAAAGCCAACAAAAATTGTTCGTTCACGGAGTGTTGCAAATAAAATGGTGGCCACGTTTGTCTCCAAAACCGACCATGTTTTGACTATTCCTCTTGAGGGATAAAGAACGGTTAATTCAGAATGGTATGCTAGCATTTGTTTGCCACAGGTCATTTCTGAACTCCGTAAAGAGAACTGCAACCGCCGCATCATCCTCCATCACGGCAACGCGAGTTCTCACACCGCACACAGAACAAAAGAGTTTTTACAGCAAGAAAACATAGAATTATTAGACCATCCGCCGTACAGCCCCGACCTAAGCCCTATTGATTTTCATACTTTCCCTAAAGTAAAGAATAAATTGCGTGGACAGAGATTTTCATCACCTGAAGAAGCTGTGGACGCCTACAAAACGGCCATTTTGGGGACCCCAACTTCCGAATGGAATGGTTGCTTCAATGATTGGTTCCATCGTATGAAAAAATGTGTCAATTTCGCGGAGAATACTTCGATAAGCAATAAATACATTTTTAAATAGTAATCTTGTGTCACTTCCTTGATTCCCGAAATTTTCAGTGCCGCCCTCGTACCTTCAGCTTCTTTAATTATTGTTTATGGTCCGATTTATGCTTAATGAACTGACTGTGTCTTGAAGTCTTGCAGTAGTATGCTTGGGGTTAGTTTTAATTTTATTGATTACAATTGAAATGTCGAAATAACTGTCTTATATTGAGCTGAAGGAGATAATTTGCATGTTTGTAATAAAAATTTACGAGCAAATAGAGATCAATGCCAGGAGTGATCACGGCTATTTATCCGTAAAACTATAGTTAGTAGATTTTTAACTTCTCGCTAAGAAAATTAAAAATATCATTTTCTTTAATTTCTAAAATTGAGTTTTGTGCGTACGTGCGTGCGTGCGTGCGGGCATGTGGGCGTGCGTGCGTGCGAGCGAGAGTGCGTGCGTGCGTGTGTATGTATGAATGTACTCGTAAGTATATAAACCTCTTATAACTTTTGAACGGCTTGACCGATTGAAATGAACTATGCGGATTTCCAGTGTTTCATCAAATTTAGATTTCCTATGAATTTAAACTCATCCGCACCGGTAGATTTTGAGAAATTTCAAATATAGAAAATTTTGAAAAACTGTTTTTTGTAATAACTTTTAAACGGCTTTACCGATCGATTCCAAAAACTAATCAGTTTTTAACCTTGAAAAACCACGTTGATCGCCGTCGGTCTCGTCAAAATCGGTTGATTCGTGAGATATTGTGACGAAAAATTAAAAGAATTGATTTTAATGATTTCTTACCCGAAACGTCGGGAATTAAAAATAAGTTAAATAGTTAATTAAACGCGATAAAATCCGTAAATAGAGTTTTATTCAAAATTGATTTTTTAAATTACTCCGATATTTCATATTCAATGTCATAATTTGGTGAATTTTAAGCACTTTGCATTTGAAATTAGAGGGAAGTTCCAGGGATGGCCTGCAGGGTCAACAATATTTTTTTGGAAAAAAAATGAATAATTGATGAAATAAATATCATAAATCTAAATAACGCCACATTAATAGACGGGAATACCCGGGCGAAACCAGGGCGTGTCGCTAGTCTTTAATAATTCTGAAATGTACAATATCGTAGCTGGTGAAATTCAAATAATCAAATTCTATTTTAAGAGGTTTGTTCCCTCTGAACTCCTGAGAACAATTTTGATATGAGATCATTATACAATAATTGCTCTTTGGAGATTAAGAAGCAAAATTAGAATTAATAAACTTAATTGTCCCAAATTCCATCATATTTTGTTTTATGCACACTTTTTTTGCGTTTCTCTAAATTAGTCCATGAGTATAGATAAAATTTAACTGTAGCGGTATTTCGCGATTTGAGTGCGTTGAGAAAAATGGAAAATTTAAGACATAAATAAGAATTAAGATTAAAATTTTGCATCATGATTTTGTTATTAAAAAAATTGTTTATTTTCACGGAAGATATGACCGCGCTTGATTCAACTTGAACATAAAAAAGGAAAGCAAATATCTATAGTCGTTCACGTTAAGAAAATAGTGAGTCATCGTTGTTCGCCGGCCTGGCCACGCCCCCCAGCCAACGAAAATGCAAGAAATTAGAAAGTTGAGTTCACAGTGACCAGTTGAAATCAGGCCTTCGAAGTCGAAGGCGAAGAAAATACCATGTGGAATTTGGATATCATGGAACTTGCAGGACAAAATTCTTTCATAATTAATGTAACTGGAGAATCTAGCGATACCGATTAGTGATTTAAGTAATTTTAAGAAAATTTGTTTCCGTTAAACTTAATTAAATGTTTGAAAAAAAAAAAAAAAAAGAATTTTTACTCCACTGTGAATACACCTTTACCCTGTAGTTGCACTGATGACTCACTATTTTCTTAACGCGAACGGACTATAATAGGATGTTTTTGTATACCAGGCGGCAGCACAAAACGGCCACGTGGAAGTGATACGCGCTCTAGTGGAGGCGGGCGCTGAAGCGGATGCGGAAGACCGGGACGGCGACCGCGCGGCTCACCATGCGGCGTTTGGTGATGAGCCGGCCGCGCTAAGAGCGCTGGCGACCGCGGGCGCGGACCTCAATGCGCGCAACCGCCGCCGTCAGACGCCCCTACATATCGCCGTCAACAAGGGCCACCTCGGCGTCGTGCGTACGCTGCTCCAACTTGCAGTGCATCCCAGTCTTCAGGTAGGTTACAGTTTTTTAGCAAGGGAAAGAAGAAGAAACACCACTGTCGTTTCGTTTACGAAAATAATCCGATTATTATCAGAATTTGGTATCGACGTAACATAAATTGATGTGTCGTAAAATGTTTTGTTTAATGCGTAAAACCGTAAAATGGCCTTATATACAGTAGTGAACTGCTTTAGTCTAATTTAGATGATGGTGAAGCGTTATGTCCCTGTAATCAAAGGTCTGTCGAGAAGACAACGATTTGATATCTTCAATTTTATATTTATTTAGATTTTTTACTTATTTTAATAGTTAGTTGGGCGGTGGGATAAGATGAATTTTTTCATTAATTTCAATGGTCAGATCGGAGCTATGAGGCAAAGAAACACGATAACAATCACTAAATAAGCAGAGCCGAAAACATATTTTCAGAACAATGTCATTTACTAAATATTTGAGTAAATGACAAGTGGTTCTCCGTAAATAAATATGACAATTGTTTTGGATGTAATTTTACTAGATACGGTTGTTCTGGTCAAATTTTTAGAAATTAATAATTATGTACTCTTATTTCGTGATTTTTTATTTAGGAGTTCTAAATTAACCTAACCTAATGACAGGGTGCTAAAAATGCCTTAAAATTATTCTTTTGGATCTTCACCGGCTGCAACCGCGGCACGTTTGCTTCGCTCGCTCTACTGCGCGAGTTGTGTAAGCGAGGAGGAACTTGTGACCAAGTAACCTAAAGTTTCTCCTCGCTTCGTTCGTCTCCGCACCTAAATAAATATTAAATATGACTTTGCGCTGTTTTAGTCATGAAATATTGCCGTTTTCTCTAAACTTATATAAATAAATATTTATTCGATTAGTATAATATCACATAAGTTTTATATAGTAACATATTGTTTCAGTTGATCGATATATTAAATACATAATAAATTAATAAATAATATCTTTTGAAATATATATAATAAATATATAATATAACTGGCGTCTGTCTGTAATAACAAAATAACCTGCTTTCATTAAGCTCAGAGGGCTAGTTCATGATTGACACGAACAAATATTTTTAATATTTTTGTCCATAGAATACTATAATTGCATACATAATAACCAATATAGAATGGGGGAGTGGGCGAAGCCCGTGTAGCCACTAAAATGTCACTAACGCGTCAATTCACATGTATAAACGTCAACACGAAATGTGTTTTGACGTTACAATCGTTTCCATATTTCGCATGCAAATTATTTAGAAAATGCCAAATTGCACGCTATTTCAAATAAATATGTATGAAAATCTGTCTTTCAACACAGCGAATCGGGTTTGTAGTAGTGATAATGTGACGTTATTTTTTGTGTGTGTACTCCCGGCGACGCCTTTCCTCGTACAAAATAAGGTTGACAGCCATTCTATTGTGTATTATAGTATTCTATGTTTTGTCTGCCTGCCTGTCCAGGCTAATTTTCAGATTGTGTTTTTATAGAATGAGCGTTACCAACGAGCACACAGTCCACCTGATACTAAGTGGATGGCCCATACACATCTATCCTCGATTAAGGATTTTGTAATTTTGACGCAGATGCGTCGTCACCCTGGGGATTAAGATGGATTGCCCATTACACAGTTAAAAGGGCTTCGTAACCAGTAAAATGGGTCTCCGGTTCTCTACACCCACCATACGAAACACATCAGCTTAATGCTCGTATTTCACGTTGGTGTTCTGATAGAGCGTGGTCCTATCCCGGTCGAGCCGACCCATTCGTGCTACAATCATAGTATAGCTGCAGCGTGGCTTTGCCACGTCGGAGCCGACTGTCACGGAACTTCACGGAGAGATATAGAGCAGTGCCTGTAGTAATCTAGGTTATATTTTAGCCGCAAAACATACAGGATGGAGGACTAATTGTTACATTTTTTTACTTAAACGCTATTTTACAATGAAACTATGAGTGTTAAAAGCGTCGTCCAAATTGGCAACGATCGTACGATCAAACGATGCAATTTCGTCGCACGACGAGATTAAACACACACATTTATTTAGTGTCCTAATTGCTTGCAAGTTATCGCGCGAGCACAAGAAATGCTTGATAACGATTGAACGATGGTTTTGAGTACGATCGTGTAATCAAAGATACAAATCCATTTTGAGTGTCCTAATTGTCCATGCGTCATCGCGCGACCGTAGCAAAGTAAGGGATGAGGGGCGAGGGATTTTTCGACGCCGTTTACAATTTTCAAAGCAATACTGCCCAGTAAAAACTGTGCATCCTCTGTAAAAAGCCATTGTTGAAATGGCGCCGTTGCGATTAAGTTGCTGCGGCTTTGGTCATGGCGAGAGCTATTAGGACACCTGTTAGACCATCGCATGATCTTTTTCATTGTGCGATGAAATCGCGTCGTTTACTCGTACATAGCCAATTAGGCCATAACCAAAGGACGATGCCAAATAATAAAGTGATAAAATATTTTTACTTGAAATTAATGGATGTCAATTTTCAATATACATCACTTTCCAATAGCGCACAAACTTTATAAGGTAATAGCACAAAAAAGCTGATAGTAAAGTGGTTTTTCGATAGTTGACCTATTTTTTGGTTAAGTTCTACAAGCACTTAGTGAAAAAAATACACACAGTTTGTTTTTTGTCATGCCTTTTATATGCAGTTAGCGGAATTAAATTAATGATGCCTTGTTTCAAATAAAGACATATTTTTATTTTCCATACCCGGGCAATATCATTATTATTCGTATAAAACTTTAATTCTATTTTTACCGTTTGAGTCACGCCATTATGAAAATCTGACAACTATGAAATGAGTCAGCTGTTTACAGTTGAAGAAAAAATCCCCTTTACGAGGGAAAGCAAAGTAGGTAGTGAAGTTCGATTCGGCATGCCGAGCGTTAGTGCAGGGTACAGGCCGGGCTTCGTTGTTTTTCTTTTCCTTTTTGTCGACGAGTCAGATATTTGTGTAGTCCACACAGCGAGACGAAATATACTACATACTTATACTATATACTTGGTCGTAAGAAGAGCTGTTATTCATACTTATCATGAAATATTGTTTACTGCGAAAAATTCTGTTTCTCTGTCATATTTGAGCAGTTACAACTGATGTTGATGATTTTCTCCTGTATCGTGAAGGCGGTTTACATTCATAAATCGCACAAAGACAAACGTCTAGACCAGGATTAATTATTTATAAACCATAAATTCTTGTTCCTTACGGGATTCAAACTCGCGTTCCTCATCGCCGCAATTCAATATTAAGTCATTACGCCATGGAGCCGGGAAATATTATTATTATTCATATATTACCATGTTGTGGTTTTATCGTGTACATGTGGTGTAAAAATATACACTTCATTTCGTTCCGTGCGTGTCGTAAGAAGGTACTCAAAATAATAAAAAATCTCCGATTGCCAATCCGCCTGCCCAACATGGCAACTATGGCAAAATCCCCCCCCCCCCCCCCCCCACCATATTAGCTAATCCGTATGGGAGGCTTATGTTCAGCAGTTAACTTTTGTTGGCAGTAATGGATATGAGGATGGTTTTTTTGACAGAGAATTTTTACGTGAAATGAAATCTAATACAAAGTGTTTAGTAATATTAAAGCCGCGATTTCAAAAGATTTTATTTGGAACTTATTTTATGCTTTTACATATTTGAAGTCGGTTTTTACTTTTAATCTTTCTCTTTTTAATGGTACGTAAATATCATCTAAATATTATAATCTTCTTTCCCTAGTTTTCCACGGATAGGGGTGTAATTTTTCTTTAAATTTATATAATACAGGTCCTGACATATAATCTATTACTTATATACAAATAAATAAAATGGAAGTGTCTGTTTGTAACGTCGAAATAACAACACCTTTATATTAAACCCTTATGAAATACTTATTTTAAAAATATATTTTTTAATTTTTTCTGTCTGTCTGTTTTTTCCGGCTAATCTCTGAAATGACTGGACCGATTTTGACAGACCTTTCACGGGCAGATAGCTGATGTTATAAGGAGTAACTAAGGTAAGTTCTCTTATTTTAGAAAAATAATTAAGTTTCCGCTTAAATAAAAATTAAAACCCATGAAATCATGAAAGTATAATGATAAATTACTAAAAATTTTTCTACGCGCACGAAGTCGCGTTTACGGCTAGTATTTAATAAAACAAGAATCATTATAATCGATTTACAATTGAGAAAGATGTCGCGTAACTTACATACAGTCGAATTTGGTCCCTCCGCCTTTTTTGAAGTCTACTTATATCGGAGGTTAGTCGAAACATTCGATAATTCGGCGTTAATCTCGCTAATGTAGGGATATCTTTGCAATTTATTCGAACATAGGGTTTTTAGTTTTACTATGATCTATATGAGCATCAGTGTGAGCCGTATATAGAAATCTTTTTAAGTTATTTCGGTTAGTTATGTTGTTAGAAATACTCGTCAAGTGATAGACGTAACTGCAGCTCAATTGATTTACTTTAGTTATTTTCACATTTTTTATTGCGAGGACATATGGCTGATTGAAATGCTCTATTTAAATAAAAACAGTAGTAAACAACTAATAACCTTTGCTGAAATACAATCCTAAGAAAATGTAAAAGTAACATTCTAACCTTTGTTGGTAAGAATATTATTATGTGTATGCGCAAAACTGTTTCTTTATTGGCTGTTATTTAGAAATTTTAAGTGAATATATCTGCAACCTCAAATGATGCACATTACCTACTTTTTCATCCTTAATAATCAAATAAATAGTAAGTTGTTACAATATAATATAGAAAGAATACTTTTATTATAATGACAATAGATGTGTAGATTTCTATGGTAATATGTGTAATATAATCACATTCCTAAGTACACGAACATACACACATTTAAATGTACTTTATTTAATTTGCTCTACATTACATTACGTATGGTAGCTGGGCGAAATAAAGAATGAAGGTCGTCAACAATATTCGCTCCAAAAATTTATATCTAGCCTTGAGGCTATAACTTACTATATAACGTTAATAAGAATCAAGAAAAGAGAAAGGAGGATCTGTATAGCTAAGGGACGAGCTCAGGTAACATCCCAGAAAACTAATACAATCTAGTGACCCGTCGCTAAT